ACTATGCAGATAAATATACAAGACAATATTACTGTACTTTTGGTTTATAATTTTTTTCCTATATTAAAAAGTAAGTATGTAACAAGCTATGTGAATGAGAACAGAATGATAAAGACACTATGATAACAATATGAAAGAAGATGACAATGGTAGTTACAACCTCCACATAAACGCAAACAAAATAACTTGAAATACATACACAAAAGGGAAGAAGAAGGAAATCAAAATACTGGCTGAGGACCTTGATGGGAAGAATTGAAGTCTAAAACATTGTGACCACCAACATGGAGCCCAAGAAATTTCAGTTTGGAGCACCTCAGATTTTCAGATGAGGGATGTTCAATTCACTAGTAAAGCCTGCAAATACTCCAAAATTTTAAAAAAGAAAATCTCTAAAATGATAAACACTTTTGGTCTGAAGCACTTTGGATAAAGGAAATCAACCTCTAATGTACTACAAGCAACTGGACACAAAAAGGATCTGATGAACAGAAGCACATGATACAGAAAACAAATAGCTAAATGGCAGCTGTAAGTCCTTTCCCACCAGTAACTACTTTAAATATGAATGTATTAAATTCCATAATTGAAGGGCAGAAACTGGCAGAATGGATGAAAAAATTGACAATATGTTGTCTACAAAGGACTCATGTTGGCTGTAAGGAAGTTGGACCTTTGTATCATACAGAAAAATTTACTCAACATAGACCAAACCCCTGCATTTAGAATCTATAAGCAGCAGCAGAAGAAAACACTAGGGGCAAATTTCCATGATCTTGGATTTACTGGTAAGGTCCTAAGTTAACAAGTAGATTGATTAGACTTCACCAACATTTTTTAAAATTCATTTATTATTTTTATTTTATGTGTATGCATGTATGGCTTGCATGCATATAAATGCATTCACGTCATGCAATGGCCCTGGAACTGGAGTTACTGATAGTTGTTAGCTGTCGTGTGTGTGCTGGGAACAGAACCTGAGTCCCCTGTAGATGCAGCCAGTGCTCTTAACTGCTGAGCCATCTTTCCAGTCCCCTTCACCAAAATTTTAAATTTTTCTATTTTTTTTACATTCCAATGTGGCATACAAGTAAATATTTTCAATAACTGATGCTTTCTATACCATTCTGTACATGTGTGATCTATAATAAATAACTGTGGCTCTAAATCATTAAATTTTAGATTTGTTACACAGAAGAACTGATACAGACATATGGCAATATGAAACATACTTTCCTTTACATCTGATATTGCTGATAAAGAAAATACCTTTGGGCCTGAGAAGATAGGTCAGTAGGTAAAAGCATTTGCTATATAAGCAAGAAGACCCGAGTGGGAATCCCCAGCACCTACATAAAAAAACAGGCATTGAGACTGGAGAGATGGCTGTCAAGAGCACTAGCTGTTCTTACAGAGGACCTGAGATCGATTCCCAGCACCCACATGGCAGCTCACAACAGTTTCAAGGGATCTAACGATCTCTTCTGAACTCCGCAGGCACTGCACAACATGGGTGCACTTACACACATAAAATAAAAATAATTAAATAATTTTTTTTAAAGTCAGGTATTGCCATGCATGTGTGTAGTAACCCCAAATTCTGGTGGGCATTGAGACAGGTGGATCCTGGAAACTCACTGGCCAGTCAGTCTAATACAATGGTGAGCTTCAGTCTAGTGAGACCTCATCTCAAAAAATAAAGTGGATAGTGACAGAGGAAGATAACCTGATGTCTTCCTGTGGCCTTCACAGGTGCAAGCATAGGCATATGCACACATATGTGCACACACAAACCACACATGCAAAGAAGAGAGAAAGAAATAAAGAGAGGGATGAGGAGTAAGTGAGAGAAGAAAGAGAAAAAGGAAGAAAGAAAAGATATTGTTTGGCTAAGTCTCCCAAAGGCCCATGTGTTAAAGGCTTGGTCCCCAGCCTTTTGGGAGGTTGCAGAAACTATAATAGTTGGGGCCTAGTGGGAGAAGTTACATAACTAGAGGTGTCCCCTTGAAAGAGATGCTGGGACCACAGTCTTTCCTCTTTGACTCCTGGCTGCTGTGACATGCTCTGTTTCCTTTACCATGTGCTCCTGCAATGATGCTCCTGACCTAGCCAAAAAGGCAACTGGACCAAAACCTCTGAAATCAACAGCTAAAATAAACATTTTTCCTTAGCATCTGCTTATCATAGCTGGGTGTGGTGGTGCACACCTTTAATCCCAGTACTCGGGAGGCAGAGGCAGAAGGATCTCTGTGAGTTCAAGGCCAGCCTGGTCTACATAGTGAGTTCCAGGACAGCTGGGGCTACAGGGAGACCCTGTCTCAAAGAAGAAGAAGGAAGAAGGAAGAAGGAAGAAGGAAGAAAGAAGAAGAGGAAGAGGAAGAGGAAGAAGAAAGAAGGAGGAGGAGGAGGAGGAGAAATTGTTTATCATAGTGACAGAAAGTGGATAAACCAAGAAGGAAGGCAATAAGAACCCAAATTCTATCTAACAGTGATGTCCCAAAATAGCTGTTAGGGTGAAAATGGGGGAAAAAAATTTCTTTTTCTTAACAAATATTTTGTAAATTTTAAGAATTTTTGAAAATCAAATAAAGAATAATAAACACCTATATGCTCACCATTTTCTTGAAATCTTTTTTTTAACTAAAAATTATGGATACTTTCCATCTCTTCTTAAATGTAATCAGCATTATAAATTTGGTATGAGTATGTTCAGACCTCACTACTTTGTATGTATATTATTTCGTATAGCCTAGTATTAGCCATAAAATTTATCAACTTTTCCATCTCTGAAGAATATGTATAGGTCCAAGAAATATATGAGGAAAAATGGAAAGAATCAGTTTAAGGGGTAAAATATATTTAAGATGTTAGAGGGACATGTGGTATATGAGAAGAAAGAGATTGCCTCCACACTAGCAAAGCAGCATTCATGCAATACTGCAGGGCCATGGTAAAGTGACAGGACATCAACAGGCAGTGCATTGCACCAACAGCAGTCTCGGCTTCTGCAGAACGCAGCACTAACACTGTTGATGGCGAGCACAATGGTGTTCTGGAGCAGATGCCTGCGTTTCTGAAGTTGTCTGAGCAGCCCTAGCCATTTCAAAAGAGTAGTCACAGCCTAACACATGGACAGCAGTGACCTCAGAGGTACAGCAGTAGCTGGAGACAGTAGAAGCAAAGTCAATAGACACAGGAAAGATTAGAATGAATCAGCTGACATACTTCCCGAGGACTCAGAAATTTTGAAGAAGTTCAGAAGTTTCAGGAAAACCTGGAGCTAATGAAGGAATTACCATTTATTTACTATTAATGTTACCCATGCTCTACCCTAGAGAAGCAAAAATAAAATTATACAATTTATAGTGCTTATAACATACTAACAACAAGGAAGATAACTGTGCTACTGGAAGAACTCCTATGATACCTTAACTGACTGGAGCCTGGAAGAAGGATACAGATCACATTCAGTGGGCCATTTCAATGGCTAGGAAGTGTCACACTTTGGTCTCACATTGCTGGCACCTTCAAATGTCTGTAGGAAATGGAAGAAAATCCTCCCTGATGGAAAATAATGGCAACTATGATGGTAACTTTAGATGTTGACTTGAGTAATCTGAGGGAAGCCAAGGAAACAGGTACATCATTACTTCTGGGTGTATCTGACCAGATTTCCAGAGAAATGTGTGGAAGACATTCAGCTGTGGGCCACAAGGGAGGAATAGAGCAGGGGAGGGGAAACTCTGGCTTTCCTTCTGGAGCTGATATAATTTTTTATTATCAATGCCTTTGGATGTCAGACTAAGTTCTTCAGCATTTGGACCCTGGAACTTGCATGGACAGTGTGCAGTAGGGAGTGGCTAAGAAGGTGGCTAGGGTTTTTTTGTTTTTTCAATAACTTTTTATTTATGAGTGTATTGCCTATATGTATACAAGTTCACCTATGTTGCGTAATGCCCACAGAGGTCAGAAGAGTATGTTGGATCCCCTGGAACTGAAGCTACAGACAGTTGTTGGCCACTGATAGAGCTAGAATTTGAACCCGGTCTTTTGCAAAAACAACCAGTGTGCTCTTCTGAGCCATCTCTCCAGCTCTGGCTGGGGATTCTGACCTGGGATTGGGGCTGCATCATCAATATCTGTAATTGTAAGGCTTTTAGCCTCTTGGACTAAGCCACACAATCGTGTTTCAGATGATCATTGTGGAACTTTTCAGCTTCTATAATCATGTGAGCCAATTCTGAATGAATATATATGTATATGTGTGTGTATACGCACACACACACACACACACACACACACACACACACACTCACATTCTTTTTTTCAATTGGTTTTGTTTCTCTGGAGATGCCTAATAGATCACCTTAGTATCCACTACTCTATCTTACCATATATAAACCATACAGTTTAGAAAGTGAACAGTGCTAATAAAACTAAAATTTTTTGGTCTAGATGAGGTAACTGTTTAGAAATGTCTCTCCTAATATAAGCAATAGTGAAAATTGAGAAAAATAGAGCAGATGTTTTCAGAGAGTAGACACCAGACTCCATTATTTTAGCACATTAGTCTGAGCATAATTTTTTGCCCACAGCACACATCACTGAAGTGAAGCCCAGTGCAATGGTCCTATTGAGCTGAAAAAGAAGAGAGGAATTTGGAGCAGCTAAGTCATGAGATCTCAGGGCAGCACATGAGAAATAAACCAAGGACCCAGGATCCCCTAGGGGAACCTATGAGTGTTTTGCTAAGAGCTTGGTAAAACAAATTTTGGACCTCTACATCAAGTATTTCTGACTAAGCAAATTTTGGTGGAGACTGAACAAGCTCATAGGTAATACTGATGTTCCTGACTAAAATTTTCTCATTCATTCAGATTCTCCAGAGAGTTAAACAAAATACCAAGGATAACGTAATACCAAAATGCCAAGAAAAACATATAATTAACTTTACACAAAGTTTATAGATAATAAAAGTTCACAAGGCTTTGAAGGCTTACCTGTAGATCTTTCACATTTGGAAAAGGAATTCCTACTGTTATGACAGCACGGGCATTGTCATCTGAGAAATCCAGACCCTCACTCACTTTGCCACGACAAACTGCTATGAGGAGGGCTCCATCTTGAGCAACAGAAGGAACACATTTTAAAAAGCATACTCAAAATCCCAGCACTTGGGAGACAGAGGCAGGCAGATCTCTGTGAGCTCAAGGCCAGCCTGATCTACAAAGTGTGTTCCAGGCCAGCTGGGGCTACAGGGAGACCCCGTCTCAAAAATAACAAAAAAAGAAAAAAAAAAGCATACTCAAAATGCTCAGAGGTTACTAATCCTCACCATTAAGTATTTTTAGTGAATTTAAAGGAACCAGAGACTACTTTAGAGATAGTTTTTAAAGTTCATTAACTTTAAATAAGGGAAACAAAGCAGATACAACACGGTAGCAAATCAATTTACAAAACTCAAAACGCATTCTCAAATAACTTATACACACAACAACAGCTTTAATATTACATGACCAAGTGTGAACCAAGACACTGAAATTTAGTCATTACCTTTACCAGCACAAATTAAAATCTTCAGAACACATTATTATATTGAAAAGTATTTTAAGCATGTACACAGAACACTATATATACATATATTTGTTTGATAAGACAGGGTCTTGCTATGTAACCCTGCTGGCTTGGCCTTATATGTAGCCCAGGATGGCCTCACGTCTGCAGCAATCATCCTGCTTCAACCTCTAGAGTGTTGGGATTACAGGCATGCACTCCCATGCCTGGCTTTGTTTTTGTTTATGGATCACATTATGTAGTCCATGCTGGTCTCGAAGTCAATTCTCCTGCCTTTTTGTCTCCCAAGAATTAAGATAAGAGGTTCCTGTATCTGGCTATAATCTTTTTAAAAAATATTTTATTTATTATTCTTATTTTATGTGTATGAGTGTAATGTTTGCATGTATGTGAGTGCACCGTGTCGTGCAATGCCACGGAGGTCAGCAAAGAGCATCAGATTCTCTGGAACTGGAGTTAAGGACAGTTTGTAGCCACTATGTGGGTGCTGGAAATTGAACCCAGGTCTTCTGCAAGAGCAGTCAGTGCTCTAAACCACTGAGCTGTCTCTCCAGCCCCATGTGGCTATAATCTTGTTACTAAAAATGTATTAGCAATCATGTTATAGTTATTAGCTCTTACATCAAATTCTTTTTATGGACATTCTCTAATGTAGAAATTGAGTCCTTAGTTACTTTCTATTGCTGTTTGAGACAGAATCTAAATCCAGACTGATCTGATCCTGCTATCTTCCTAACTTCACTTCCCCAAGTGCTGGGATTACAGGAAAATGCTACCATACCTGGTTCCTCAGTTATGTTCTGGAAAATGCAAGTTTATCTTATTTGGTAGAATATAAACATAGGCTATATTATTTGCATTCAAATGTATATATCTCATTCAGTTAGTAAAGAAGATATTTACACTTATCCTAACTACCTTCCTGCACAAAATATTTCAGGTAATAGAAGATAAACTGTGGTATAATACCTGAACACATGCTGTTTCTTAAAGTTGGTTGGGCATGCCCAAGTGAAAATATATTCAGGACAACACCAGAAGTTCTTATTTAGCTTATTTTCTTTTCATCTAAGATTATAAAATAAAACTTTCTCAAGTGCAATTCACTTAAAAAAAAATAAATGATGTTCTAACAGCACCAAGTTCTTCTTGACTTACAATTTTAAAGACTCCTTTCATTGACATGAAATCATTTTCACTTACCTTTCTCTCCTTTGAACTTGATAGCATCATAGTACACCTGCAGCAATTCATCAAAGTCAGTTTTTTCTCCTCCTTGGGGTTCTACAATGACTGTCTTCACCAACTCTAAACTATGCCATAAACCAGTGAAAACCCAACGTTCTCTTAATTTCTCTAACAGCTAAAAGGAAAAGAAAAAAATTAATTTTTATACACCTAACTGAACAAACACCTTTATTTGCTTAAAGTCAATGTGACTGTAAAGTGCCATATTAACCTTTTTTCTTTTTTTTCTTTTTTTTTTTTTTGGTCTTTTTGAGATAGGGTCTCCCTATAGCCCCAGCTGGCCTGGAACTCACTATGTAGACCAGGCTGGCCTTGAACTCACAGAGATCCGCCTGCCTCTGCCTCCCAAGTGCTGGGATTAAAGGTCTGCACCACCAGGCTTGGCAAGTAAACAATATTTTATGAAGCCATTATTAGATAAAATTCACTAACAGCCTGAAAGGGTTTGAATGGTGCCTGGTTCACAGTAACAGTGAAGTGTCAGCAGTTGTTGCTGTTACCACTAACACTTCTATTTAAAAAAAAAAATGTATATATGAGGTGTACGTGTCTGATAGATGCATGGGTTATACCCTGGTGTGTGTGTGTGTTAACACCATAACATACTGCAGTTAGATTAGAAGACATCTACTTAAAAACATAAGTTTGAGAAATATAAAGAATTGAAAAATGCAAAATTTCTTCTAAAGAAGCCCAGCAAAGATTTTTTTTTTTTTTACATTATATACAAAATAATTCACTTGGGATGGTGGTGCAACCCTATAATCCTAGATACTAAGGAGGCTGAGGCAGGAAGATGGCAAATTCAAGGCCTGCCTGAAGTACAGAATGCATTAGGTCAGTCAGGGCAACTTAATGAAACTCTGTCTCAAATAAAAAGTAGAAAAGGGCTAGAGATAGAGCTTAGTGGTGGAGTGCCTGCCTACCATGTTCAAGATCCTGTATTTAATTGTTCATAAAAACAGAGAGAGAGAGAGAGAGAGAGAGAGAGAGAGAGAGAGAGAGAGAGGAGAGATAATTTAGAATATCAGAAAATCATTATTTTAAAAGATTAAAAGACAAGTGTAATATATGAAATTGTTATTTCAAACTTGTTATAAGGGATAAAAAAATATTTTGTCCACTAACTTTTGGTTTCTAAGAACTTCAGAAATTTATGTTCAATGAAGTTTTATCAAAACTTATGTGTACCATAAGAACAAAACTTAATATGCAATACTAATATAAAAAACTTGTATATGAAAAATAAGATCTTCATTTATTTCTGAGTCTTAAGAAACATGTCTGCAAAATAAAGCTGTTAAGTCACTGATATATCTGAGTCTATTTTATTTCTAAATCAAATTGTTAGAGCATAATTATTATATAACTAAGATTATAATTTAGGAACTAGGTGAAAAGCAAAGAGAAGAAACAGACAGACACACACCAAATAAGGATTACATTTTCCTAGTTTGCACTGGAGGCATGCATTAAAGCTTTCGAACTTTGACAGTGAAAATTTTATAACTTGAATACATTGCTTACCCAATATAGAAATTATCTTGGGCAGGTGAGATGGCTCAGCAGGTAAAAGTACTTCTGATACAAGCTTGACAACCTGAATTCAATCCCCAGAACCCAAGGTGGAAGGAGAGTATTGACTCTCAAAAGTTATTCTCTGACCTCCATATATAACTGTGGCTCACATACACCTGCAAACATACACATCTCTCTCTCTCCTCTCTCTCTCTCTCTCTCTCTCTCTCTCTCTCTCTCTCTTACACACCATCATCATCATCATCATCGATAAATTTTAAAATGAAAATACAAATCAATTTCACCTAGGAATTGTGGAACCCATCTGTAATTCTAGCATTTGGAACACTGGGGCATTAGGATTCAAACTTTGAGGCCAGACTGGGCATGGTGGTACATGCCTTTAATTTCAGCACTCAGGAGGCAGAAATAGGTGGATCTCTGTGAGTTCAAGGCCAGCCTGGTCTACATAGAGTTCCAGGTCAGCTGGGACTACAGGCTAAAGACCCAAAAGAAAAAAAAAAAAGGAAATTCAGAGAGAAGAGACTGGCCAACGGCAAACCCTGATGAACCTATAGGCTCTAGATTACAGCCCTAAAGGACCACATTTGAAAAGGATTGAACAAGATATAAATCAGCCTTAATCAAGGCCGTCTTCAGCTACTACTCAACAGTTGAAAGCCAATCAGGAATACAAGAGACTCTGCTTCAAACAAAACACCAAAACCTAAGTCAAAAGTCTCCAAAGGCTTCCTGTTGTACTTAGAATCAAATCTAAGCCCTTACCACACTATGGCTTTATCCCAGCTCCCTCTCTGATCTCTACTCCTTTCTTCATCTCCCACACTGCTACAGTCACGTTAGCCTCCTTATTGCTCAGACTAACTCTACCTTTTTCTACCTCAAGGTTCTCTCCACCTGAACATTTCCCCAGCAATTAAAATAGTTTTCTTCCTTCTTTCCTTTAGACCTTTACTTGATGTCACCTCTGACAAACCTTCCCATGCCATCCCACTAAAATTATAAATCTTTTCTCTTTATTTCCAGACTTCTTTTCCCCCTTTTTCATTTTCTACACACCTAAATCAGATCCCTTGAGTTACCATAACAAAACATCATAGACTAGGTGACTTGAACAACACAAATTTATTTCATGCAGTCCTGAAGGAAGGGAAATGCAGGATCAAGATGTTGGCCAACTTGATGCTCTCTTCCTGTCTTGCAGAGGGAAGGCTTTGTGGTAGCCTCATGAGGCTATTCCTTTGTGCTTATGCAGAGAAATAAAGCGCATTCTCTGGTACCTCTTTGTACAGAGACACTAATGCTGTAAGACCAGGGTCTCATTCTCAGGACTTCGTATAATATTAAGTACAATTCAGAAGCTCCATCTTCAGAGGTAACCACACTAGGAGTTTGGCCTACCCATATAAATTGTTGGGACACAAACATCCAGTCCATAATATCAAACATATTACTATCATTTATATATATATATATATTATATATATATATGGTTTATTTTTCAACCTGTCATCCCTGGAAAAGTAAGAAGACAGTATTTTTTTTTCCTGTTTAGCTTACCATTAATTGTCCAGTAATTAGAACAGTACATAACACATAGAAAATGCTCAATAAATGTTTGTTAGATGAACTTAATAAATGAACTAACAAACAAAAAGAAGTCTTAAAATAATAGGACAGAGAGGAAAATAAGGAAAGAAAAAACACAACTATGCAAAATCAGGTGCTAAGTCCTCAATGAAAGAATATTAATGGGACAACAAAGCTGGAGTGCAAAAAGTGATGCATTAAGCCATGAACTCAGGCTAGGCCTTTCCCTTTCCTTTCTTTACTCCTTCCCTTCTTTCTTCCTTTTCTCCTTTCTCTCCCCTTCCACTAAAAATTACACAGAGGCAACATGCAAATGGGGAAAGTAGTTTATATACAAAAAAAAATACATATTATTTTAGTAAAAATGGCCTACAGCAAATTTTCAGTTGCAGGGAGTATACACTTAGGTCTATGGCTTTTCTGTTCTCATCGTAGGTGACACTCAAATCACATATTTATTCAGCTTAATCATTTCCCTCTTGTCAGAAGATAGCCAGACACAGTGGTGCACACCTTCAGTCCCGTCACTCTGGAAAGAGGCAGGTAGAGCTCTGTGAGTTCAAGACCAGGCTGGTTTACATAAAGTTCCAAGCCAGCCGGGGCTACATAGTGAGATCCTTTCTCAAAAAGGGGGGGGGGGGGGGGGGGGAGAGAGAAAGAGAAAGAAAGAAAGAGAGAGAGAGATTAAAGAAATACATGGCCTAATTTGTTACCTTCTCTTAAATATCAAAACTATATACCTAACAAATAGCTTAAAGTATATGGACACAGACCTATCTCTCAATTATTACAGCTTACAACATATGTGAAAAATGTGAGGTATTTCTAAGTTATTTTTATAGTTCATAAAAGGTAAATACTAGACACATACTGAGACTAGCTGACATAGAATGACAGAGATGATTTAATTTACCAATTGGTGTTCACATTGCTTGGATTCATTAGCCTCAGAGGCAATTTTTTTTTTTAAAGTCACATCTCACACATTAAAAGATACTTTAGAATGCCCATGTCTTATCTGGACATTGTCATTTGACTTTTTCAAGCTTCTTAAAATCAATACATCACCAGGGAGACTATAAGTCAGAATCCTGCATTTGTTCAGTGTCCACAGCTTTTATACAGCACCAGATGTTCAGTACATTAATAACGCACGAACTCATAGCCTCTTTTTGAAACTCTAGAAAGAGCAAATTGCATTAAGACCTCTTTGCCCTCATTACTGGTATTGTTACAATCCCAGTTCTCTGGAAAATGTTTTTTGGCATGTGTTTAACTTCATAATATTGCCATTTACTCACTTTAATAGCCAGTACTCAAGTCTTAATGCATTTAATAGTCTTGCCTAAATAGACTACCCTGTATAATCTTATTCCCATAATTTGTTTCATAGGTAAACCTAATTACATTTTTTTTCATCTGAAGATGATTCTTCACTCTTCATTGCATGAGGTATTAATATTTGAGAAGTGTTTATTTTGTTTTATTCAGGTGATGCATACCTATAGATGATATGCTGAAAATAAGAGTCTATTTATAAAAATGAAAAAAATTAATGGTGTTTCTAAGTAACTTTATAGTTACCATAAAAATAGGGATAGTCTTAATTTTGCTATATTCAAATTAAAGTATAAAAAGACAAAAATAGAAATTTTTACATCTTCCCATTTGGTTAAATTTGACTTAGTATGTTCACTTCAAAAGGCTAGTTATATTTCAGGATGAAATTTTCAATGAATGCTCATGTAGTCAGCAGTAAATCTGGAGAGGGAGTACAGACAAATGCTACTCTGAAATAGCATTTGTTGGCAATCTAAGTGGAAACAAAAGACCCTACAGTATTCTCTGAAAAGGGGCACTCATTCATTGGTTAAAAGAAAATGTTAAACCTACACTACAGAAAATGGCACATTTATTTTACAGTCACATAGATACAGTGAGATAAAAGCACAATATTTATAACATAAACTTAAAAAAAACAGTATT